AAAAAAAAAAAAAAAGAAAAAAATAAAGAAAATCTGCATATGACTGTTGGCTCCCCAGAATGTAACTACTAACAACCCACTGTTGACTGGAAACCTTACTGATAACAGTCAATACCTGTTTGTGTGTTCTATGTCGTATATACTGTTTTCTTACAATACAGTAAGCTAGAGAAAAAATGGCTTGACAATTACAAGGGAGAGAAAATATTTGTACAGGACTGTACTACATTTAATGAAAAACAGCGACGTCTAGGTGGACCGAGCCTGTGTTGTTCAAGGGTCAGTGGTATATCCGATGCCCTCTAGGCTGAAGCAGCCTCCACAGCAGAGTCCTATAACCTCCAGGCTGCCTGATACTTCATTTGAATTCCTAGGACTTGTGTGTGTCACATATTTATACAGGATTGCAGATGGCTCTGTTTGCAAATATCCTGTTGGCCTGAGAGAGCCCAAGCCACCTCTAAGAGCCCTGAGCCAGGAGCACTCTCCTGTGTGTAGTTTTTCCTACTTCTAGCTTACATAGTGACTTCAGTGTTTAAGGGGAGAATTCTTGTCCCATTTGAAGGAAAGTTCGCTGTATTTAGCACCTTTGGGTCTTGAATTTTTATCAAAAGTTTGTCATCTTATTTCACAGTTTTGTAACTTTAGTTCACATTTAATTGTTATTTTTTTTAATTTTTTTTTTCAACGTTTATTTATTTTTGGGACAGAGAGAGACAGAGCATGAACGGGGGAGGGGCAGAGAGAGAGGGAGACACAGAATCGGAAACAGGCTTCAGGCTCCGAGCCATCAGCCCAGAGCCTGACGCGGGGCTCGAACTCACGGACCGTGAGATCGTGACCTGGCTGAAGTCGGACGCTTAACCGACTGCGCCACCCAGGCGCCCCTAATTGTTATTAAACAATATGAATATTATGTCATCTTCTGTTGTCTCAAGGTTCCTAATACTTGGAGTATATGTTTTAACAGTATAATTGTGATACAGAAAGTTAAGGTAGACGTAACTAGCTTTGCTTAAAGGCTATGGAATTGATTGTTGCAGATAAATTTTACTTCTTACACCTTGTGTTCACAGAAAGTTCAGTATCCACCCTGGAGTCACCCGCAAAAGCGGTTTCAACCTCAAAAGAGACAACCCCAGTGGCACAAAATGCAGCCCAGGTACTGATGCTCTATAAGGGATGCTCCTTCCAGATTGAGGGGAAGTACCCATTTACCTAGGCAGACACATTTGGGTCCCCTTGCAGCTTGTGCTTTTGAAACTGTGCTGTTGTACATCTCCTTATGTATGCAGTCAAAATAATGGAGTCTTCCAGAAGCTATAAAAGTTAAAGCAAATACAAATGTGTGTGTGTGTGTGTGTGTGTGTGTGTGTGTGTGTGTGTGTGTATACAAAAGGTTTTTAAGAGCAGTCGCTATTGTTGATGACGGTGGAGAGAAATGGGTGTTCATGTGCACTCACACCATTCACGTAAACTAGCACAGCGTTTGGGAACACAAGTTGGAAATGAGCTGGAATATTGATCCAGAACGTCTGGGACCTCACCGTTCTGGACTAGTGACACTGCAGAGTGTGCAAATCATAATGCCAAAAGCAGCTTATGCTTAAAAAGACCGGCCCTAGCCCCACATAGTCTTGAAGCATCCTTTTGTCCTGAGGATTTGGAGAAACAGACAGAAAACTGGGAAGTAGATTTAGAACTACAGTCGCGCGCGTGTAAATTACCAGAGCCCGCCGAGCCAGCTCGCTAAACTTTCTAAATGTGTTTTTAGGCTCCTGAGTCCTTTGAGCACCTGCCGCCTCTCCCAGAACCACCACCACTGCTGCCCGAGCTCGTAGACAAAACCCGAGACACGCTTCCCCCGCAGAAGCCTGAGCTCAAAGTGAAGCGGGTGCTGAGACCCAGGGGCATCGCGCTGACTTGGAACATCGCTAAAATCAACCCCAAGTGTGCCCCTGTAGAAAGCTATCACCTCTTTCTCTGCCATGACAACCCTAGTAATAAGTTTATTTGGAAGAAAATCGGAGAAATTAAAGCTTTACCACTCCCAATGGCCTGTACTTTATCTCAATTTTTAGCTTCCAACAAATACTATTTTACCGTCCAGTCAAAAGACATTTTTGGACGATATGGACCATTTTGTGATATAAAATCTATCCCTGGGTTTTCTGAAAATCTCACCTAAAAGTCTTTGGTGATTATTTATTGTATCGCGCTGTTTTGTTTTTTCATTTTTGAGTTGTTGGTTTACAGTGTTCCTCTAACACTATTTGCCAGGGGCCAGTTCAGATTGTGAACCCTTTGAACAGGGACAGGCCTCGTCCTTATGTTGTAAGTGACGTCTCGTTTCATGAATTTCTGATTTGCATTCAATAAGTACTTCCAGAAGATATGTTCTAAAACATACGCTTCCCTGGACTCACGTCATTTCGGCTGTGCTGTGTACATAACCTCCGGGACTGTGGAGGCACTGCTCTTCTATCTCCAAAGCCCTAGGATACGAGCAGCCACTTCTTGCGCCTTTGGAAATCAGCGTTCGGTGCCCTGCTTTTGTGGTCAGTGTAGGTACAAGAAAAATCAGCTCTCTGCTAAGGAAGGGTCATCCCTGGGGTGCTCACCAAGATTTTACGAAAATAAATGTCTTCTCCTTCTGTTCAAATCCTAAGGGCTAATCATTTGCCCTCTCCCTGTGTTTTTCTTTTTGGCCCTGTCAGTCATCTGGGGAAAGAGCCTGGAGGTTTTCCCTAAATTTGTTTGTATATTTTGATATCTATAATAAAATTAGTTACACGTTGTGTGCTGTGTATACAAAACACAGAGTATCTCTGATAAGAGCAGTATCCAACCCTCTATTTCAGCTCCAGAAAATGGAGTTGTCTGCCTGAGGTTCAAAGCTTTCCTTTGCTGACTCCTCAGTGCTACTCTCTGTTCATTTGCTGGCTGCCGTCATACTCGGAGAGAGGACGTAACCCTAGGGGGCCCCAAGAGATGCGGCCCGTGAACTCCTCTGAGGGGCACTAAAGTGAGACGGCAGCCAGCACAAGCTCCCCAGGAAACCGTGAGCAGACTGCATACGTGTACTTCAGGGCCCAGTGGGGTGGTGAGAAAAGGAACACCAGCTCTTAGCGTAAAGAATCGTCTGTTCGAGAGGTGTCCTTTCCTGGTTTGTAGTGAAAGCTCAGTCCTCTGACCTGTGAGGTTTCAAAAATTGAACGAGGAAGGGTTTTCCTTGGCATTTTGTGAATATCTTCACATCTCCAGTCATAAATAAAGCTGTTATCTTACGGTCTCCTGTGTCTTTATCTCCTAAGACATTTCTACTGGAAGAGCCCGATTCTGGCCTTTATGTGTTGTAATAGCTTGTGCTATGTCCTGCACCTGTGACAACTACTACATTAAAAAGAGGTCATACGCTGTCCAGGGCCTGGCATTTGAGGAAGTGTTTTTAGAGGGTCTTGCATGCACTGTTGTGTCTTTGGCTGCTCTATCTCGCTACTCGTGGTGGGAAGTTGGACCTTCCGCCTCATGTGCTTTGATTCGTTTGCTGAAGTAACCCTGGGAAAAAGGAGAAGCGGGGGCCCCGGGGAGAAGGGAAGAAACCTTATCCCAAACGAAGAAATGACAGGGGTGGAAAAAAAGACCAGGCAGAGAATCAAAGAAACCATAGGCTTGGGGCGCCTGGATGGCGCAGTCAGTTAAGCGTCCGACTTCAGCCAGGTCACGATCTCGCGGTCCGGGAGTTCGAGCCCCGCGTCGGGCTCTGGGCTGATGGCTCAGAGCCTGGAGCCTGTTTCCGATTCTGTGTCTCCCTCTCTCTCTGCCCCTCCCCCGTTCATGCTCTGTCTCTCTCTGTCCCAAAAATAAATAAACGTCAAAAAAAAATTAAAAAAAAACAACAAAAAAAAAAAAGAAACCATAGGCTTAATCCAGAAAGAGGAAAATAAGAAGGAGACACAGAAAAGGTGTAAAAAGACTAGGATAAAAATGCCTGATTAAATGACCAGAGGAGAGGAAAGAAATATATATTTTATATATAATAAGAACGGATCAAAAATCAAATCAGAAGCTCTGAGGCTGATTCCAAGGGGGGAAGAAAGAAGAGAATAGAAAGGTAAGGGAGAAGAGAAGGAAAGAAAAAAAACAGACTAACATAAAAAACCACAAGACAGTTATCTGTTGGTGCCTGGGACCCGTGACTGTGCCGTGTCTGGTTCCGTCAGTGTCAATCTCACCCCGGTAGATAAGCAGTTACCACGTACGGAGGGGCAGGGTTTGGTGTAAGCAGGGGCCCAAGTCCCCTGGGGGCCTCTGTCCTGGTCCCTGAAGCCCCACCCCTGGGTGAAAGGAAAATGACACCCCAATCTCCTCCCTGAACTGGGTGTCTCAAAGCATGCTCTTCAGGCCATCCTCACAGAGCCACCCAGGTGGGTGGCTTGTCCTGTTCCACAGTCCCCCATGCCTCCCAGGTACTCCACTAGGATTCAAAACCCGGTATCTTCAAGGATCCCATTGTGTGCAGGTGTGGTTCTGGAATAGCACCGCTCCACCCAGCCACAAAGGGCCTCTGGCTGACACCTGCAGGGGCTTCTGTCCTTGGTGGGGGGCAATACACTCTCTTCCCACGGCACTCCAGGGAGGAGACTGCTTTCTCCCAGTGCACCCCCAAGATCACTGGCTCCCCTCCTTCCCAGGACACACACACACTGCTGGCTCCAGTCCCAGACAAAGTCATACACCCCTGAAAACTCTGACCTAAACTCCTAAGGCTGTTTGCAAAGTAGAAACAGGCTCCCTTCATATTTTTAACTCCCTGGCCAGTGGTCGGGAGAGGGTTTTCTCTTATCCGAATATAATCCCACACTTCCACAGCCTCTCTTTCTCTTCCTTTTGTCTCTCCACCGAAGGGGATCCCCCCACGCTGTGTCTACACTGCCCATTTCATCTCCCCCAATTCACAAACATACACCTCTGTCCCGCCATGTGTCTCTGTACACCTGTGATTTTTCTGTCCCTCTGCAGACTGGATTCCTGGTATTCCAAGTGTTGTGACCTCAATACCGATGTGTTTGAGGGATGAGGGAAATTTGGGTCTCCCTACTTCTCCGCCATCTTGACTCCTCCTGGAAAAGCCAGATTCTGAACTGAATTTGATGAGCTGAGCTTTCCGTCTGTGAGGTCCCGTTTCAGGCTCAGAGCAATGGAGCGGGGCGGGGTGGGGGGGCATCCCTCAGCACAGGACGAGGGCTCCACTTAGGGGAGGACTGCACCCTTCGGCTGACGCGGAGTAGACATTCATGTGCTAAGCCAAGCTCCGAGTTGACACCACGGACAAGATTGTGGTGGGCATTCACCGAAGTGAAACACATCCCCAGCCAGCAAATCTTCTGGAATGTTGGTGAGTACACAAGCTTAAGCAAGAGTTTCACAATAACAGGATGAGGGAGGAAGGCCGATAGCAAGCATCTTAGAGTTGGTGGCTCAAAAAGCATTAATGGCTTTTGCCTTTTGGAAAGTGCAGGGGCGATATTCTCAACTGTTACCCTATCGGTGACACCAGAAGAGAGCCAGCCGAAGGAGATCACATGTGAAATGCCCCGATTTTAGGCAGAAAGGGGGAAAGCAAAGAGGTCTTCCCATGTCTCCCATTTCTCAGCAGCCTTCAGCTCACCATGATCCTTACACCAGAACGGCTTATTTTTTGAGGGGTGGCCTATTCGGGTTTCCTTCAAGGTGGATAAAAAATCAAGTTGCATCTCTCCCCTGACAAAAATCTCATGAGGCCAAAAGGTAGGAACTGACTGAATTGGATTTTAGGGATTTTTTTTTTTAAGTCCAATTTTACTCCACCCTCTGGATGTATGGTAATGGGTAATATGTATAAGTGTCAGTCGATCTCTGAGTGTTTGTCACTTCACCTTCCTTAAAGGTTACAGAAAGTTGAACAAATTAAGGCTGATACCAATGGACACACCTATAGATACTGTTACCAATCACAGGGGCAAGGACACATCTGGAAGTTCTTTTTCTTTCTTTGATGGAGGGAAATAATGTCTGATGTGTGAAGATAATAGTTCTGCACCCAAGATTTATTTATTGATTCCCCTGGATTTGGGGGCACATAGTGCATGCAGTTGGTAAAGTTTGATGGAATGGATTTAAGCCACGGTAACACAAGAGGCAGGTAATACTTGATTTTTGCAATATAGAGTGTTAACTCTTTGGATTCAAGGAAATACTCCATTTTGGGAGTACCTAATGGTAAGAGAATTCTGGAATGTCCAAAGTGCCTTGAAGAAAGGGTACAGACATAGCACAGGGGGTGAAAACCACATGTGATGGGCATTACTGGGGGTCATAGGGTATGTTCAGGACTACCTGCAAATTAACCTGATCACTGCCACGGCTTAAGCCAGCTCCCTTTGGGCGAATTATGCATCTCACTCCATGAAAAGGAAATCTTCCCAGGGACCTGGGTGGCTCAGATCGTGATCTCACAGTTTGTGGGATCAAGGCCCACATCAGGCTCTGCAATGACGTGAGGAGTCTGCTTGAGATTCTCTCTCTCTCCTCTCTCTCCGCTCCTCCCCCTTCACACACATACTCTCTTTCAAAAAAGATAAACTTTATATAGATATAACAAAGAAGAAGAAAAAGAGATTGTCCCATAAGCTGGAGTCACCCATCTCTTGCTCACAGATTGGGACCCACAAGTGGCAAGCAGAGACACTTGGGTAGTTCAGCAGTAGGGTTTGGAATCTTGTTTCAGTCCACATGGGCTCTGTATAAAACCAATTTGGTAGAGTTATGAGCAGGAGTTATTCCTCTGAGCAAACTAGAGGCCAAGCTTGGGTAGGCTGGGCTATAGCCCAAGACAAAGGAGAAATTCTTAGCAGTTTTGGCAAGAGGTTTATGACATAGTAAAGGTTTGGGACACAAAGCTCAGCCAACCCAAAACTGTTTTCACTGATTCGTTAAATTTCCCCAGTGAAATATTCATGTATTCATTCACTAAGGAATTATCGAACATCTGCCAGGTGCCAGACCTCAGGCCCGGGGCTGACATGGAGAACAAGAGTAGATACTGCCCCTGCCCTTTCGGAAGTGGCCTAAGGACATTAACGAGTAAGAAATGAACACGCAAGATTTCCCTAGAGCGCTGGCAATGTGATCCATGAGGAACATGAG